ATTTCTCTTAATATACCGAGTTATAATCCAGTTCAAGCTTTCAAGGGCAAGGCAACCAAGGCAATTGCCTTAGGCGTCCCCTTAAGTTAAGGCCTGTAAAATTTAATTCAATCTTCTTCTTGAGTTAAGGCAAATATATCCATATTGTATCTTTAAAATTAGACAAAATTAATATTACTCACTAAATATCAACGATCTTGATAGGCTATTAGGTTAAAAAATTTGTTTACACACTTCATTTTATAAATAGAGTATAATTTAATATATTGTCTAATTATTATTTTTTTAAACTTTTCCTTTTATAAAAATTTAACATTTGAGTCTCTCTTATGGAAAATGAAGGAGTTACCTTGGAAAGTATTTTTCTTCGTAATATCATTGCATAGTTATAATATAATCATTCTCTAATGTGAATGCTATAAATCTCAGAGATTCCTACTTAATATATATATTATTATATATATATATATATATATATATATATATTATATTATATATATATATATTATATTATATATATATATATATAAATATAGAGAGAGAGAGAGAGAGAGAGAGAGTAGAACCTTTATATAATCATAATATTATGACTAACTAAATTTATTACTATGAGAATGTTATAACTTAATAAAGGTATAGTTACAAGAATTGTTATTTTGATTAAAAAAAATATTGTTTTGATTTCTTATTTATAATTTATGTTTCAGTAGTACAAATAAATTAAGTGAACATATTTGACAACTTCACCACATTAATGAAATAGATATTAATGTTTTCTTCAATCATCCAAATGAGCAACAAGCCGTCTATACTTTAACTGAAGAAGAAATCATTATTGGAATTAGACAAGAAGAGGAAGGAGATAATATTGAAGATGATAACGAAAATGCCAAAAGTTTCATGTCAAGAAACTCTAAACATACTAGAGAAGCTAGAAATATTTTGGCTTCAACAAGAAAGTATACATGCTGGCGACTTATTACGTACCCGCAAGATAAAAGTTATGGTAACAACGCTAAAACATAAATCACTGTCCCAAACAACTTTAGATAAATATTTTATTTCATCTTAAACCTTTAATGTAACATAGCATATGTTTTTTTACAATATACATATAATTATTATTATGTAGAGGTAAGTTCCTTAAAACGGGACCTAGAAAAATTCTAGCTTATTACAATGTGAAATTTATTCTTATTTATAACTGACCCAAGTTGAGACAAGATTTTTTTATGAATACATGGAGGTTATTCTTATATAGAGTATTACTATAGAGAGGTTCTACTGTATATATATTACTTGTAAAATCTAAAATATTTGAAATATAACAAAGTAAAATATTTTTCTTACAATTTTAATCAATTTTTAATGCATATATAGTATTCTCTTAATAATAAAAACACTTAGTTATAAAATTAAACATATGAAGGTTTAAATTAAAAAGTTTTGCTTAAGTCCCACGACCGTTGTGATCACCTTGAATTTTATAAAATATCTTAAAGATTGTCATGTAATATGCTCTAAATTAAATGTTTTCGTGTATTAAAAAAAAAGGAATGTGATTTAATTTGTAAGGATAGTAGATTGTAACATTAGGTTATTCCTCATTATAACTAACATAATTAGGAAATTCAATATATTACGGTATTTCCAACCTATATAACGTCTATATAACTATAGTAGATCTCAAGCAATTGAAACATTCAATTATTCAAATAAAGATGGGTTAAAACAACTTTCTTAAGCAACTCGCGCAACGCGTTAGCTGCTTATAAGCTAATTTTCATAAGCTCAGACGAATAAGCTCTAAATTGCCCTCATTACATTTATTTTGAATTTTTAATACCCGACACATAAATTTATGTTATTTATAAAACCTGATAACAATTTAAATCATTCAACAACCCTCACAAGTTTGGTCTAATCTTTGAGCACCAGCTAGTTTCTTTACTAGCATCATAACCTCCATTTATTTGAATTCTGATATAAAATGTTCTGTCGCCCCTTAGTCAGCTAAATGTAAAATTACATTTAAAATATCAAACTATCCTCCCAATAAAGTGAAAATATCAAGTTTACATAGCCAACAGTTAACTTTAACGGAAAAAGCAACTACCTATATAATAACTAAACTAACGGATGTTCAAAGATTAAGCCAAAACTATGGGGGTTTACTGAGATAAGCCTAAAATATTTTTATTTTATGGTACTTGAAGTGAATTAATGTCATTACCCCTAACGGGACGTTTGGTTGGGGGTTATGTGAAATTACTATAGTTATTTCATCTTATATTACTTAATTATCACATTTGGTTGTCAAGTAATATAAGATTTCGGTAATCTTCAAATACCAATAGTAGTTACTGTTGATAATATTGGAGGTAATCTGATTACATTTATTTTCTTAGGTATTGTAAGATTACAAAGATAATCTTTTTTTTGTTATAATTCTATCCCTTATTAATATAATTTTAGGACAATAATACCTTTATTTTTGAATTAACTTACATGAATATGGCTTTTATTATGTCACCCTAATTAATTAACTTTTTGGACAAAATTACCCTTGAATTCAAAACAAATTGCAGCCCACCCAAGCTGCCACCCCCACCCACCTGCCGCCGCCAACTGTTGGCAACCACTGCCGATGGCCAGTCGCCGCCATTGAAACGGTGCAAAAAAGGCTAAAAATGGCTGTCATGCACTGATATGGCCATTTTCAGCCAGAGATCTAGCCGAAAATAGCCAGATCGTGACAGATCTGGCCGAAACGACCAGATCGATAGATCTGGCTTCAAACAACCAGATTAGATCTGGTCGTTGTCTGGCCATATCTGTCACGATCGGGCCATTTCCGGCCAGATCTCTAGCCGAAAATGGCCATATGGCGCACAAAGGCCATTTCCTGTCTTCTGGGTGTCATTAGGTTGATGGCTGCCGGCGACCAACAGTGGCTGGGTTAGTGGGGGTGCATTGTTGATTTTCCAAACTTTTATTATGGGGTTGTTTTTGTCAAGTTTTTAAATGTAGGGGGGTTATAATAATCCAAATAATAGTCTAAATAATAATATAATAATATTTAATTAGAAGACAATTCAGTCATTTAAATAACATACCCACTAATTTATTCCCCCCAACTGAACATATTAATAAAACATACACATCAATTTATTCTAACTAATCAAACACATTTTCTTAAAGATTCTCAGCAATCTTCAAGGTAATCTAACTTTTCAGTAATCTAACATTCCCTAAACCAAACGCACCATAAATATAAATACAAAGCTAAGAAAGGTGGTAATGGTTCCTATAGTTAGATTTGTGAGTGAACTTTTTTTCTTTTTTTTTAAATCATCAGAGGTGTTCGGATCAGCTTGCATACATCTCAACAAATTTTTTGAGACCCTAAAATTATTAATCGGATAAAAGCCTTAATGGTCACTTCTATTATTGCTTGAGAGATTCAAATTGAGGAACTCATGGGACATATTTTTCTCTTTTGGTTGAGGGAACTTTTGTTGGTTTGTCTTTGGTACAAAAGTGGATGATAATGCCCTTGTCAATATCACTTATCTTCTATCAATCACTTAATCAACTCCAAGGTGGCAGCAAACTAGATACATATCATCCCAATTATTGATAATATTATAAAGACTTGTGTGGTTTATATTATATGGCACACCCTCTTAATATATAACAATTTTATAAGAATTTGACTATGTTTGCTATCTTGAAATGCACGATAATACATTTAAAATTATACCATATGTTTTTTTTTTTTTTTTTTTTTTTCTGGGATATTCTATTAATAATAATTTAAAAAAATAATAATAATAAAAAAGAGATTTAACTTATCCATCAAACGAAATAATTATAAGCCAATGAGTTAAGCAAGCTTATGCTTAATGAGCAATTAAGATTACATAAAACCAAAATTTTCCTAAATTAGAAGTCAATTTGAAAATGTCTCCATCCCTAATGATTTCCTAGTGTTAAAATTTATGAAACCGGACTGTTTGAATGGATCGAAAGCTAAGACGAAAAGAGAATTCTCCTCAAGATGAACTCTTTAATTTATAATTTCTTCTACTTTCAAGAGAAAAAAAATGAAAAATACTAATTCATTCACACAAAAAATGCTTCTTTTCCTTTGTTTTTAAGTCAACTCTTTCTCTCATTTCGATATGTATGAAATAAATAATTTTTATCTTATTTCAAAGTTTACTCTACCAAACCCTAATTTAACCCAAACCCATCAAATTCAAACCGAATGTGTTCGGACCAACTTATGCGTATCTCAATTAATTTTTCGAGACCTTGGAACTATCGACTAGGTAAGAACTTCAATGGATAGCCCTATTAACACTTGAAGAGGAACTTGAACTCAATACCTCTTGAGTAATACATCTAAGAACCCCTATCAATCCGTTCGACCACCTAGAAATAGTTCAAGCCTAAATCTGTTAAGCCCAAACTCCTGTTCCTATACTATTGTTTTTTTTTTTTTTTTTCTTTTAATAATCTTACTATTCTTCAAAGCAAAGTAACCTCCCAATAGAAATCCTGATTCCGAAGCTAGATTCTAGAGGTATTTAATTAAATTATAAAATTTAAGGAGTTTAAAAAAAGTTGAATAATATTGGGAGTAGTATTCCCAAAAATCAAAGTTTTTGGGTATTTTACTGTTTAACTTTTTTGGGAATACTAAAAGTAGTATTCTCAATTGGCAACCAAACGGAGCCCATCATTCTGGTGTAGAATTAATTAATTTACTCAGCCTGGCAAAGTTGAGCCGTAATTGGACTTCTGTTTAGGCTTTGGGCTGCATATATTGATGGGTTATAAAACTCAGACACAATCCAACGGTGTAACAACAACATCAACCACCAAAACCCATTACTGAATAATGCGAGTGCTGCAATGTCAGCTTCTGAAAGGTGACATGAATAGACCACACAAATTTCTATAATTGGATATGAAAGATTCCTTACGCTGTTGGCTCAGTTTTGTCCTAATGTAGAGAGTGCAATAATGCAGCCATCTTTTTCCTTGTACTAGTCATCTGATAGTGTTATCAAATTTCGTCACCAAGTTCTCAGAACTCAAAACTCTTGTGATTCTGCCAACATCATGGCTGAAGCTTCAATTCTCCCCGCTGAGGTTTTGCGATCTAAGCATGTCCAGGAAATGGTCTTGAAAGGCGAAGAACCACCGCCAAAATATGTTTGTAGAGATGGTGATGCAGTCATGATAATTTACATAAGCATTTCAAATGTTTTCTTTTAAAATACAACTCACCAACTGTACATAAAATTGCATGACAGTAATAAGTCACAAGAACCAATCAATTATGGAAACATCTTCTTGCAAGTGTAATACAAGAGTGACTGTAAAAAACCTTTAAGTGTTTTCTCATCCGATACCTTTAGAAGGTGAGCCACTTTGCAGAATCCTGCATGATATCTATACAGACATTCTTCATTTATTGTTGGTTTCATCCCACTCCTACAAGGTTTTGGCCTTGTAAGAGTCCATTGCCCATATGGCCAACGAATGCATGTAATTTAGCGCTCTAAAACAATCAATGGTGGTCCAAGCTTCAGGGGTTTAGAAAGAATAACTACGCAGAAAACAGCAATAAGTCAGTCAATTATCAGGAACAAATAGTTCTTGAGCAGATATTTTTCAGTGTAAATTATGCAGAATGTAAAGTTTCCAATTGTAGTCGGCAGAAATTTGTCCTAAAGGCAGTAACCTGATGATGCAGGATGTAAAGGAAGGATGCAAATGGGTATTTAGTCCTTATCTTCTACATTTTAGGATCGAGTATTTGAGTCCTTGGTATCCCTTTCTTGATTTCTCCTCTTAACCTATTAATTTCTCTCTATCACCCTATATAGAATCTTATATTATCTATCTATGATATTCTTCTCCCCGTCCATCACCTAATATTATCTACTAGACATTATAACTACTGGAGTTTTGTTCAACAATTCACAGCATCAAGAATCTACTAGAAAATGGTTAAACAGTACATCCACCAAAAAAAATAAATGAACTGACAAAACAGATGATGAAATGAAATCTATACAGATTTGAGATAGATTTAGATCTAAAAAACAAAAACACATACATTAGTTAACAGCCTATTAACTAAGCTATAAGATAACAGCTTTAAATAAACTTAGGGGTTCTTACACGAGTGCATTTTCAGACCATGCTGCTTCATAGATTTCAATGGCAATTTGAAATCCCATATCGACCAAATCCCCACGATCATCGTTAAAGCAACTGCAAATATAACACCAGACCATATTTTTCTTGACTGCAATGTTGTCATTTTAACTGTTCCAACAGGTAGATCCCATTGACCGGCCCCTATTGTGCATCCATATTCTTTAAGATATTCTAGGGAAAAAACTTCTCTAAATGCTCTTTTTGCTTTGTCTTCATCAACTATCGCTGAAGGAGCACATGCTCGTGCATAACTACATTAGAGACACACCTGGTAAGTTCTAGTCTTATCAGATCTGAACTAAAAAAGAATATATATTAAGAAACAGAAACATGTGAAACACTATAAATAAATCAAGATATATCAGGCCTGGATGATTGAGAATATCAATGAATGAAGTTAATCAGTTGCAACATACCATTGTCCAGTAAACTGATTAGCTTGAACAGATGAACTTGAGCAGCTACCATTATTGTCATAGTTGAAGTAAGAACCATTCCACAATTCCTCATATACAACTTTTGCTAACTGAAATTTACACCAAAAATAATCCTCAAACCCTTAAGATCTACTACATGTGCAAATCCAAACGCAACCTGCAATGCTGCCACCTCCAATATATGTACTTACAACAGAGACAGATCACGTATCGTATGTCTAATCAGGAAAGCTATCATTCTCAATAATCCCCATCACCATCCCTATCAAATTTGAACAGATAAAAGTGTTTACTGAACCTTCTGCTTACCGTAACCAATATAGAGCGTTTGGGCAGCTAGATGAACTTTTGCAGGATTCTACTCCGAAAAAAAGTTTAATACTCACTAAAGTTTTATCACGTAAACTTCAATTTCGCTTTTGGACCAGAAATTGAGGAAGCTCGTTCAAACATTCACTATAATTTTCGGCCTTCATTAGTAACTGCATGACTAAGGACATTGTACATTCAGTCGGCTTCACATTTCTCTCCACCATCTTATGAAGGATTTCAACAACTTTTGGTATCTCATTATTCTTGAGGAAACCAAACATAAGAGTAGTAAATGTGACTACATTTGGAGCACAACCTTTTTCCTCCATATATGACAACAACTCATGTGCCATTTCTAGTTGTCCATTTTTACACAGCCCATTGATCAAAATGTTATATGTTACAACATCTAGCACCAGGTTTCCATGAAGACAAAACTTCCTAAATAGGTCCTAAGCAATTTCGAATCTCCCTGTTTTACATAATCCGTCAATGAGGGAACTCAAACCTTCAATGCTAACTGCAAACTAATTAATTACTAGAGTATTAAACATTTCCAATGCTTCCAAAACACATCCATTCTTGCAAAGTCCATCAATGAAAATGTTATATGTGTAGGATTCAAGTAAAACATTGTTAAGTCGCATCTCACCAACTAAATTCTGTGCATCTTTCACCTTAGCTATAAGAAAAAACCCAGTTAACAAGGTGTTATATGTAATCACATCAGGCTTAATTCCTTCTGAAATCATCTCTCGATAAAGACTAAGAGCTTCATTGACTTCTTTATTCTTGCAATACCAATTGATTAAAGTAGTGTAGCAAACAACATCAGGCCTATACCCCTTTCTAGTTATAGAATCAAACAACTCCCTTGCATCACCAATTCTGTCTGCCAAGCAATAACCGTTTATCAAAATGGTGAAAGTATAAATGGTAGGAACCACACCTCTCTGAATCATATGTTCCAACAATAGTTGTCTAGCCTTCTCAACCAATCCAGCCTTACAAAGACCATCAGTTATAATACTATAAGTAACAACATCTGGCCCACAAATAACACCAGATTCTTTATTCCCATTAACCATCTCTTCAAGCAACTTAATGGCAACACTTATTTTCTCTGTTTTACACAATCCACCAATCAAAGTGTTGCAAGTGATCACATTAGCCCTACAACCAACAGCAACCATTTGCTTAAACAATTCCATTGATTCCATAATCTTTCTCTCTACACACAGACCTTTAATCAAACAATTAAAAGTCACGGCATTTGGGCTAAAACCCTTCTTCAAAATCCCCCCAAAAACCGCAAAACTATCCAAAACCCTTTCAATATTACACAAGCAATTCATCAAAACATTCAAAGATCTTAAATCAGGAGACAACCCAGTTGAATTCAACAGCTTATATAGCGAAATCACTTCATGATAATGCTTCTTCTTAGCTAGTGCACTAAACAAAGTAGTGAATGATGAAATTGGAGAAAGGGGTTTCATATTAATCATGTAATAAAAAAAGTACAATGCTTCATTCAGAGTAAAGCTACCTGATCGACAATTTTCTTCGAGGAATTTAGCAAGTGAGGATCGTTCAAGGGGTTTTTTGAAAGAATACGAAACTTCATTTTTGGAGCTTGAAGATGTGAGGTTGTGTAAGTGAGCTAACAAAAATAAAACATTAACTTTCGAAGATGGGTTTTGAGAGATTGAAGACGAACGAAATGGGGATCTGAATCTCAGAGCCATGCATGAATTGAAGAGTGTTTTTGTGGGTCGTTTTTTCCGAAGTAAGGTCATTGCAAAAGGCAAATGCATCAAAGAGAAATGTTTTGACAAATTTCACAAACAACCTTTAAGGTTTTCAAAATTACAAACATATGTCAAGTATTGATCTTTCCTACTCAAACCACCTTTATGATTTCGAAAATGGAAGGTTAAAAATGTAAATCCATATTCAGGTGTTTTTTGGTTTGAGGTGGTTTTCTATTAAATATACCAAAATCGATATTTCACATAATCGAATGTGATATATTAAAAATTCAAGGGATATTATTTTTTACTTTTTAAAAGTTACATGAATAATGTTTCGTTATCATGTTAATAAGATTATTATACTAATTATATTGCTGAAATATCTATATTACTAAAATAATAGTACGTATAGTTTAATATAATTATTAGTTTTGTATTATACAATAAAGTTATATTGAGAGCCTTGAAAGGTTTAATATAATAAAAATAATCAAATTTATAAAATAGTAAAAATCTCTACTGTTAAATTATAAAGGTTAAAATAATAGAATCAATGCAATTTCATAAATATTTATTAATTTTATAGATATATGTTCTAGCGGACTAATAGTTTATTAATAACGAGGGAAATTTTATTATTTCAAAAATCTTAAGTGAATTTCTATAATTATAGTGAAGCTCAAAGGAGTTGACTTGATGTCCTTAACACTTTATAATACTATTGTAATGTTCTACATTACCTTATCCACAACGTGCACTATACATTAACATATATGATCAGCACATATCAAGAGATTAGACAGTTGCACATACACGTATCTCAGTAAAGAGCTTCTGTTATGAATTTACTTCTTATAACATTGTAATCTCTATTTTGACCCCAATTGCTTGCAAAATTTGGAAACAATGCTATCCATCAAAACTAAATTCTAAAAACAGTTTCAAATCAGCACTTTGCTCATGGGGTTGCTTTCAGGTTCAAAATTCTTGACTTAATGAAGAAGTAAACTAGTTTTTCCTGGGTTATAAGGCTAAGTCTAATTACATATTATGCTTGTTCTATGATACATTTTTTTTTTTATGCATTTTCAGGCAGTATGTCATGGGATTTCTAGTACATTCCTAGATAAATTTCGCGAAGTTTCAAGGGAATACTTCGAACAGCCCATGGAAGAGAAGAAGAAGCAAGCGAAAGGAGTTGAAGATTTCGAAGGCTATGGAGCTGACCCTGTACCTGAAGAAGGCCAATTCTTGGATTGGTCTGATAGGCTCTTCCTCGAAGTATACCCAGAAGATCAAAGAAATCCTAAATTATGGCCGGAAAACCCAGAATCTTTCAGTTGCTTTCATGCTCCCCATGTCTGAGGTTGCTAAATACAAATATCAAGATGACATCAGAAAATTTCTGAAATTTTTGCTCATCCAAATTCTTGATTGTTTTGCTATTTTTGTCACGTATGAACCATTACAAATTACAAATGCGCAGAGGTATATTAGAAAAATACTCTATAAAGATGAAAAAGGTAACAGAGCTTACTTCCAAAGCCATGGCTAAGTCATTAAACATAGAAGAAAATTGCTTCTTGACACAGTTTGGCGAACGAGCACAGTACAAAGCAAGGTTTAACTACTACTCGCGTTGCCAAAGACCTGATCTTGTTCTAGGCTTAAAACCACATTCAGATGGATCTGGCTACACCATTATACCGATGGATGCAGAAGGTCTTCAAGTACTCAAAGATGAGCAGTGGTTTACAGTACCTAAAATCTCTGAAGCTCTCCTAGTCCTCATGGGCGATCAAATGGAGGTCTATATTTCTGTTAACTTGTTTCATAATCTAAAGTTGCAGTTTCATTTATTACCAAGCGAATGACTTGCAGATAATGACTAACGGGATATTCAAGAGCCCAGTGCATAGGGTGGTGACTAGCAAAGAAAAGGAGAGGATTTCCGTCGCTATTTTCTGTTCACCTGAAGTAAACAAAGATATTGGACCGGAAGATGGATTAATCAATGAAGAAACACCAAGATTATTCAAGAAGGTGAAAGGGTACGCTGATATACACTGGGGATACTACCAGAAAGGACAGAGAGCACTTCATGTTGCCAAAGTGTGATATTATACTGTACTGTTCTGTGTGTTTTGTGCAAATTGATAGCTGCATAGTGAAAGAAATAGAGCGTATTTGATATCAAAGAAAACAAACAATCACACACAAATAACCAACACTAAAGAGAACGAACACGCACGATTTATCCTGGTTTGCCCAAGACTGGACTACGTCTAACATGGTCAATATTTACAATGAATGTACCCTAAACCTCTCTTGTTACAATGAATGTATTTGCTAATAAATTGCTCTCACACACTCATACAAGAGAATAACGTCTTTATATACTAGGTTTATTAAGAGAAATCTAATACTACTAGGATTCCTATTCCTAAACCAAACCCTATATGAGTTTTATTCCTTAGAAAAATCCTATAGCAGCTATTCATGGTATAAACCCAAACCGCTTATGGGTCGGAGGCATTGCCCCCTACCCACTCACCAGGGAGCAGAGCCTGTAAAACCCCTCCCCAATTAGGTACCTTCTGAATATCCCTTAATGAGAATCCAGAGAATTCATGTCTAGGGAATGAGTTGTATTTAGAAAACATCTGCAAGGATAATAATAATGTCCAAAACATTACTATAAGATGTACTGCAGATCAAAATTTGTACCTTCAAAAATAAAAACTTGAATTCATTTGGGCATCAATCAATCAAAACATATTAATGTCATTTTCATTCAGATGGTAGAAGCTTTAAAAAAGTGTTTCAAAAACATTTGTCATTTACATTATTTACATCAAGATAAAACGTCAGGATGACAATAAATTATCTCCCCTCACGCATAGCCTTGCTGTCTCCAGCATCCTTCGCTTCAGGATTACCTATAAATTCAACCATGAAAGGGCGAGCGTTAATCGCTCAATAAGGAATGATCCATTTAATACCAAGTGTGTTATTTGACATTCATTCAAACACATTCATTCACATACCACGCCTCTTTTGCATCCAAGTATGGTTCCTTTTCTTTACTAACTCATATACTTTTCATCATCTTCCCCATTGTCATATAAAACATCAAGTATACACATACAAATGAGTATGTAAATATAATGCACAGACATCACATGTCATGACATAACATCTAAATATCATCTAACATGAGTACAAATCATCTCATGATGTAAATAACATCATAACTCATGTAATACAACTAAATGCATATGAATCATTTAACGTCTAGCCGATCAAACTTTTCTTAGCGTCTTAAGCACTTCATACTGTCTAGCCTCAAATTCATCTAGAGCTCATATCATCGGGAGGCATGCTTACGCGTTATTTAGCATCTAAAACATATATTCTTCTTTCCTTCAGCCAGAATATGAGGATATGCTTACGCATTAATTAGCATCTAAAGCATATATTCATCTTCCCTCTCATCTATCCTCAAATTCATCTAAAGCTCATATCATTGAGAGGCGTGCTTACGCGTTATTTAGCATCTAAAACATATATTCATCTTTCCTCAACCGGTATACGAGGATATGCTTATGCGTTTTCCATCCTATCTATATGCATCTCTAACATTTTATGGCATGTAAATACATATTGAAGTGAGCTTAATACTTTTGATTCATCTATGGATTATCAATCCATTTACATTACCTCTTGCTCACATTCATCACCTTGAAACATATATTACATTGCATCTTCATGCCATTTCATAACATTAATCATGCATTCGCATCCATGACCATGTATATCTTTCAAAGATTATCTAACTAATAGGTAAACATTAGTTCATGGTTTAATTACAACAATACATTAATAATCAATTCATAATCATAAGAATTGATCATGTTAAATCTTAAACTTTAATAACCAAAAGTTTATCCTGCAGGTCATTTTCCATCCATTTCTCAAATGAATTGGCTCTTGGCATAAACATAAAAGTTATAGGGCTATGTCTTATCTTTCTAATTCTTTAAGAATCATCTCATTTCGATTTTTATATGTCAAGTTATGGTTGAAAAACTAAAGCATGTTTAACATAACCCCTAAAATTGCCAAATCCGAATTTTTCATATTAAACCATGCCATTATCAACTTCTATTGACAATTAACAAATATGTCAACTTATGGATCAATTAAACCTCCTCTTAATAGTCTTTAACATCTTAAAGGAATGGTAAAACCTCATTCCCATGATTATCCATTATTATTATAACATTGTAAGTTAATGCAAACAACGCATCAATACTTCTAATAGCAACCATCCAATACCATGTGGCCTCCAATACTACAAGTTTTACCACAATCAACATCAATACTTCATTTTCTTCGATTAAACATAACAACTCATAAAACATATATGGCAATAACTTCATGTATAATGAATTCAAGGCAATAAATAACATTAATGAGTTCAACTATGTCACGCCCGAGGATCCACACAGGAATGTCTCTCGGTGCCCACACAGCTGGCCTGATGGTACTCACCATGCTTCCCAATTGACTATAGCCCCTTGGTCTTGGGTTCGAGTGGTGGGGGAGGCGAAAGAAATCCCTTAAGGGGGGGGGACAGTACTTTGTGAGTCACGTACCTGTGTGGGCACCGAGAGACATTCTTGTGTGGATCCTCGGGCGTGACAAACTACATGTGCCATCAACTAATTCTATGCCTTAAAGCCTTAATTTAAGGTTTCATTAAAATCTACAAACCCTAGCATAATTCTTAAAGTCATGGGACGTTCTTCCTTACACTTTAAAGAATTCCCCCACCAAATCCTTTGTCTTTATCTTCTTAACACCTTAATCCTACATATATAACTTTATACCTCAACATCTACCTCAAATCTTCAAATCACATCAAAACTAGGGTTTTTAATCCTTACCTTAAATCTTTCAATTTGAAGATCCAAAGCTCCTATCTTGTTCTTCTTGAAAAATTATGTAATACTCCTTTAAAACTTAAAGAGGGAAAGCTTGTTTCATGGAAGATTTGAGAGTCTACTCATCCTTAACTTTTGCAACGCTTATCCATAGGCAAAATGACTATTTTGCCCCTAATACCCTTTTATGGATATTGATTCATACCGTTCCAAATGAATTGATTATTTTGCACTTTGTTAGATTTTATGGTTTTTAACATAAAATTAACATCTAAACGACTATTTTGAGTTGGGAACATACTTTTGACATCTTGGGTATTACAGAGTCCCCGCTTGGCAGCGGGACTTGTATGCGTCTGCTTCGCCCCTTATTGTTGAAGTAGTAACCAACTCCAACACTTATCTTAGTGAAATCTCTCCTTTGCATCCTTTTTAAGGATGATCCTTCACTGGTATAATTATGTATTGCTCTAAAAATTAACATTCAAACTTTCTCTCAAAAGATCAAACTTTGTTATACGTTTTCTAAGTGCATTTAGTACACTGCAATAAATTATATGATTTTGTATTAACTATGAAGGCCAAATTAAAGGCACAGTCTTGTTCCTCGTCTCTACAACTTATTTTAACCAAAACGCCTATTTTTCGCTAATCTCAATTAGCTCATTGCCTAACCACAACTTCCAACAAATGATTAACAGTATCCTCGTTTTTCTTCCCGCACATCCTCCTCAGTAACCTCCATATTCATAACACTCATTTTTCAGCATGCAAGACAATTTGCACAAAGGTAGTGATTTCCTTGCCCCTTGTTCTACATCACTAACTTTACACCAAGGTCTTGAAATTGGAAATGCAATAAAACAATAATCTTATAGCAGCCATCTTATTCAAGTACCCCCCAATCGTCCTAATAGATTTGCCACTCAGCAAAAATGAACTGGGTTTCTCAGAGGATAGCAATGTAAAATTAGCCAGCCTATCAGTATTAGTTTTTTACTGATAGATGCTCCACTTTCCTCGAGCATGATACAAATAAAGGCTCCATAAACCTCAAATAAAGACCACTCCACACCACAGACATGTCCTCTATCCTAGGAAGTTCAACAATTGCTTAGATGACTTTCACAGCAAATTCATAAGAATTGTGTAAGTTAAATCCTAGAGGAAAAAAAATAAAATCCAAGAAAAGGATTTACCTTTCATTCTTTCAAGATGAAGTTTATCATTCTATGACAATACTTAACATACTTGCTTGAAAGTTTAGCTACAGGCCATTACGAGGAACATTCTCAAAAGACTTCCAGGATAGCTAAAGTGAGGGAAACTGATTTGAAGGTAAAATTACGGCAAGCAAAGCAATGAATTCTTGCCGATCTGAAAAGAAAGCATCAAATGACTTCTGATATTAGTATATGTAGAATAGGCAAACCAACAGGAAGATGATTCTAGTTCTTTTCCCTTTACATTAAATTCTATCAGCCAAGAAGACATTAACAATGAACGACTTTGACATATGTGATAGAGTAAAGAGATTAGGAATTCTACAATTCAAACACCTGGTTCTGATCTTCATTTCTTACCATTAAGAGAGAGACTAATAATATTGGACCGCCATCAATCAGGTCTCATTATATACAAAGTGGCATATTGATCAACTAAGTTGATGCAAGAGGAGAACAAAACTCCCACATAATGTTTATTTTAGCCTCTCTATTAGGATCCCACATTGAAAGGGAAAATTGTGGGCATGTAGGTTATAAAGGCTTGGGCACCCTCCCTTGGCAAGTCAGTTTTCCAATAAGAGTTCTATATAAGCCCATGAAAGACCCATGATCCAACTCAAATTGTTGAGTTATTGGAGTGGGTTCGTATCAATTGGTATAAGAGCATGATCTTGCGCACGCATGGTAGGCTGACCTTGAGCCCGGGCTACTACCCCAAGGAAAGGGGATCCGCGAAGTCATCCAAAGGGTAAAGAGGCCGACATGGAGCCCACGCAGTAGGGCTCAGTGGGCCCCCTAAGGGGTCAAGAAGAAGAGTTGCTGACAGGCTTCTAAGCAAAGTAAGACCCAAAGGGAGGGCAGTAAAGGCCGATGAGGGCAGGCACTCTTAGGAAAGAAGACCAACGAGGGCGTTGGGTCTCGAAGCGTAAGGGAATGTTAGGATCCCACATTGAAAGGGAAAAGGGTAGGCATGTGGGTTATAAAGGCTTGGGCACCCTCCCTTGGCAAGCCGGTTTTCCAATGAGAGTTCTATCCAAGCCCATAAAAGACCCATAGCCTAGCCCAAATTGTTGAGTTATTAGAGTGGGTTCCTATCACTTTCCATCCCCTATTTCCATTCTACCAAAGCTCATCTCCGAAACTGTTTAATGGAACACAACCTCTCCATCCTTTATTTCCATTCGATCAGCTCTTCTCCAAAATCAGGTACCCAAAAAGGAACCAAAAAAAAAAAAAAAAAACTACAAATTGAACGGCTAAGAGAAACCAAATTCAAAGGCACTAAATAAACCAAACGACAACTAATTGAAACCTAAAAGAAATCATGCAATTCAGAAAGCAAGTCATTGAAAATTTCCTCTTATGATGCATTATCCATACATTCTGGTCTGATCACTTATAATAACTAGCTAAGACAACTACACTACCTAACAAAATTAAAAGAAAAAAAAATAAAAAATCATATAAAATCAGTAGTTTGTAAAATTCTCCTTCCTGTTTAAGATCCTTCCAGTCTTTTACTCTTCTCATCAGAAGGTTCCACCACATCATCACCACCGCGAAGCTACTTCATTGTCGACAAAAATCCATCCTCTTCCTTACAATTCAGAAACAACTGCTTTCTATAAACCTGAAGCAGCCGCCCAAACAAATCCTTCTTAATAGACTCAAAGGCCATATCCAACCTCTCCAATTGCTCCAACAAATTCTGGTTATACATAAACAACCCATAATACAAATCAAGGACATCTCCTTTCGTATTCTTCACCAAATTCAACAATGCCTCATACACTTTTGTGTTAACTGGCGATGACTCAACTCCAAACCTCTCCAACACTCTCCCCATTGTATGTGTCACAAACTTTGACCCTGCAGCGTACTTATCATGTTCAATACAACTCATCTTCACCATTCTGCGACCTTCTTTAGCAAAAATGTCAAGAAACCTCTCGACTCGACTCAATCTTTCCTCGTCATCTCCAATTCTAACTTTGTCATACACAAAAGGAAGACCAACCCACGAATCTTTTCCACTCTCTGGACCAAACATCGGATGTGTACACAAGATGTCAAACTCTTCTAGCAAATACTTCAAGAAAAGATTCATAGTTAGATGTGCATCAAATACCAATATGGCAAATCATATCAATATTAGCATATACGACTTTTCCTGCGCAAGGTTTGCCTTTGTGACTTTGCCCACCCAAAAAGTTTCAAAACACCACTTTCCCGTCCAAAAATTATATTCAGTTTATTTTAATTCCTTAAAATTTAACAACACTTAAATTTCTGTCATTTTTTAAACCTCATAACAATTTACATTATTTCCATAACGTCCATAAGTTTAGCCTAATCATTTTAACACCCGCTAGTTTTGTTATTACATGGTATAAGTTCCCGTGTGTTTCAATTTTGATAATAAAAATTAGTTACAACTTACAATGCAAAATGTCTTGTCTCCCCTTAGTCAACTTACTATAAAATTACAGAACCCCTCACTATCTGGTCAGACAGTACTAAGCAAATTAGCAAGCCGTTAAAATGCAATCGTCGGAAAGGCACACAACCAGTCGAGTCTAGTTGGTCATGCACTGATCTGTCGTTTCTAGCCAAATCAATGGTCGAAAATGGCTAGATCTATTATGGCCGTTAGCGGCTAAATCTATTCCAGCGTTGTGTGACATGAATGTGACCGTTAATGGCCAGGTCTATTCTGGCCAGATCCATGGCCACAAATCTGGTCGTTTCCAACCAAAATAGATCTAGCCATTTTCAACCAGATCTATGGCCAAATCAGAGTATGACCGATTAGTACGACCAATTAGATCCAGTTGATCATGCGTCTTTCTGGCAACATTAGTCGACGACGGTCGTAATGGTGGCCAGCGACCGATGGTGGTGGTTGGCAGGTATATAAGGGCACTACTGTCTAAAAACTTAATTAATTAGAGGTAACATTGTAATGACAGGTTCATGTAATTAATTTCAAAAGGGCATTATTGTCTAATATTTTAATAGTTAAGGGTAAAATTGTAACAAAAATAAGATTACCAAGTAATCTTAAAAATTAAAATACCTAGAAAATTGTGGTATTTAGATTACCTCATATATAACCAATAATAATTACTATTGGTTTTAAAAGATTACTGAAATCTTATATTACTTAACAACTAAACATAATAATCTAAGTAATATAAGATGACATTAACTCAATAATGGAATATAAACCCCAAACAATCGCCTCCAACAAAAAAAAAAAAAAAAAAAAAATTGTTATTTTATGCCTTTATGGTACTCGAAGTGAATTAATGTCATTAACCCTAGATATAAATACAAAGCTAAGAAATGTGGTAATGGTTAGCGTGGTTAGATCGGTAAGTAAACCTTGATTTGTCTTTGGTATAAAAGTGGACGATAATGACTTTGTTAATATCACTGATCTTCTATTGATCAATTAATCTACTCCAAGGTAGCAGCAAACAAGATATATATCATCCCAAATTCCCAATTAGAGGTGCGCATTTAGGATTGGGTCCAAAAACCCAGCTTAAAACCCAGGTCCTAGGAGACCTGGTCCCAAAACGGGACCAAGCCTAAGGAGAAAGGCCTGGTCCCTCCACTCGGCCCTCCCCTGGTCCCAAATTTTTTTACATTTTTTCATTTTTTTTCATTTTAGTCCCTTATATAATTACATAAAACCCTCTATAAATTTTGAAATAAACATAAATTATAGGAGTTAAAAGGAAATATTACAAAATTTATTTAAAAAAAAAAAATCTCCGGGCTCTAAAATATTTATAAATTTTACCTCTGAAAATACTAAAAACCCCCTACAAAATTTCGTTTCACCCTAAAATATAAAAAAAAAAAAATCAGAGGGGGGAAAAAGAAATTTTTTAGGCCTAGGACTGGTCCGGGTCCTAGAATTGCTATGGGTCTGGGACCCATGAGCGACTGGGCCCGTTTCGGACCAGTCCCAAACGGGCCCTGGTCCGAAACGGGCCCAAGCCTGAACCTGCTTATCCCAATTATTGATAATATTATAATAAAGACTTGTGTGGTCTGTATTATATAACAATTTATAATAAATTGACTATGTCTGCTATCTTGAAATGCACGATAATACATTTAAAATTATGTGTTTTGTTTTTTCGAATATTCTATAAAAAAATAATAATAAAAAAGAGATTTAACGAAATAATTATAAGCCAATGAGCTATGCAAGTTTCTGCTTAATGAGCAATTAAGATTACATCAAACCAAAAATTTCCTAAATTAGAAGTCAACTCTTAACATTTTTTATTTGGAAATGTCTCCATCTCTAATGATTTTCTAGTGTTTAAATTTATGAAATTGGAATGTTGGAATGGATTGAAAGTTAAGACAAAAAGAGATTTCTCCTTAAGATGAACTCTTTAATTTATAATTTCTTGTAATTTGGAGAGAAAGAAAAAAAAAAAAAAAAATACTAACCCATTCACACCAAAAATGCTTCTTTTTGTTCTCATTTCGATAAATTATCTAAATAATCTTATCTTATTTCTAAGTTTCGCGACGTAACTCTAATTTAAACCAAACTCATCAAATTCAAACCTATCAAGCCTAAATACTGTATAAACTAATGTGGCATGTCATGTCAATGCCACGTGACATAGGACTCACATTACTTAATATTATGTCAGTGCTATATGGGTTCACATGCATTGGGACTAGGTCCATTTTGGTTGGGACCGATCCTATAGGCTTAGAAAATTTTGAATTTTTGTTTTATTTATTTTAATCCCTATATTAATTGTCTATTTCAAATAAAATAGAAAGGTTTTAGATATTTACCAAGGGTTTAAACAAAATTGGGCGAGGGGAACCGGTCTAGGTAAGTCATGGAGGAGGGACCAAACCTGGACCCAAGCCTTCCTCCATGGGCTTGGTCTTGTTTTGGGACCAGACCTTATAGGACCACTCTTGATGAGAATTGGTTTTTTGGGTCTGAACCCAAGTTCCCACCTCTACATGTCAATTTGTAAGAGAGTTTGTACGTGTAATCTTGTTCAATCTTGTAAGCCTAAACTCATGTTCCTATACTATTGTTTTTTTGTTTTGTTTTTTTAAATAATCTTATAATTCTTCAAAGTAACCTCCCAACAGAAATCCTGATTCCGTAGCTAGATTCTAGAGATCACCATTCTGGTGTAGAATTAATTAATTTACTCAGCCTGGCTAAGTTGAGCTGCAATTGGACTTCTGTTTAGGCTTTGGGCTGCATACATTGATGGGTACAAAACTCAGACACAATCCAACAGTGTAACAACAACATCAACCACCAAAACCCATTACTGAATAATGTGATTACTGCAATGTCAGCTTCTGAAAGGTGACATGAATAGACCACACAAATATCTATAATTGCATATGAAAGATTCCTTACGCTGTTGGCTCAGTTTTGTCCTAATGTAGAGAGTGCAGTAATGCAGTCATCTTTTTCCTTGTACTAGTCATCTGATAGTGTTATCAAATTTCATCACCAAGTTCTCAGAACTCAAAACTCATGTGATTCTGCTAACATCATGGCTGAAGCTTCAATTCTCCCCGCTGAGGTTTTGCTATCTAAGCGTGTCCAGGAAATGGTCTTGAAAGGCGAAGAACCACCGCCAAAATATGTTTGTAGAGATGGTGATGCAGTTCATGAGGTTGCTGCTCCGTTTTCTATGATTCCCATAATTGACCTTAGTCTTTGCGCGTCATCGACTCCTGGTATGGGGCAACAGGAAGAACTGCAGAAGCTGAAATCAGCACTTTGCTCATGGGGTTGCTTTCAGGTTCCAAATTCTTAACTTAATGAAGAAGTAAACTAGTTTTTCCTGGGTTATAAGGCTAAGTCTAATTACATATTATGCTTGTTCTATGATACAATAACCTATAAGTTCTTGTAATTTTTTTATGCATTTTCAGGCAGTAGGTCATGGGATTTCCAGTACATTTCTAGATAAATTTCGCAAAGTTTCAAGGGAATACTTCGAACTGCCCATGGAAGAGAAGAAGAAGCAAGCGAAAGGAGTTGAAGATTTCGAAGGCTATGGAGCTGACCCTGTACCTGAAGAAGGTCAATTCTTGGATTGGTCTGACAGGCTCTTCCTCGAAGTATACCCAGAAGATCAAAGAAATCCTAAATTATGGCCAGAAAAACCAGAATCTTTCAGGTGCTTTCATGCTCCCCATGTCTCAGGTTGCTAAATACAAATATCAAGATGACATTAGAAAATTTCTGAAATTTTTGCTCATCCAAATTTTGCTATTTTTGTCATGTATGAACCATTACAAATTACGTATGCGCAGAGGTATATTAGAAGAATACTCTATAAAGATGAAAAAGGTAACAGACCTTACTTCCAAAGCCATGGCTAAGTCATTAAACATAGAAGAAAATTGCTTCTTGACACAGTTTGGCGAACGAGCACAGCACCAAGCAAGGTTTAACTACTACTCGCGTTGCCAAAGACCTGATCTTGTTCTAGGCTTAAAACCACATTCAGATGGATCTGGCTACACCATTATACTGATGGATGCAGAAGGTCTTCAAGTACTCAAAGATGAGCAGTGGTTTACAGTACCTAAAATCTCTGAAGCTCTCCTAGTCCTTATGGGCGATCAAATGGAGGTATATATTTCTGTTAACTTGTTTCATAATCTAAAGTTGCAGTTTCATAAATTACCAAGCCAATGACTTGCAGATAATGACTAACGGGATATTCAAGAGCCCAGTGCATAGGGTGGTGACTAGCAAAGAAAAGGAGAGGATTTCCGTCGCTGTTTTCTATTCACCTGAAGTAAACAAAGAGATTGGACCAGAAGACAGATTTATCAATGAAGAAACACCAAGATTATTCAAGAAGGTGAAAGGATACCCTGATATACACTGGGGATACTACCAGAAAGGACAGAGAGCACTTCATGTTGCCAAAGTGTGATATTATACTGTACTGTTCTGTGTGTTTTGTGCAAATTGATAGCTGCATAGTGAAAGAAATAGAGCGTATTTGATATCAAAGAAAACAAACAATCACACACACTTAACCAACAGTAAAGAGAACGAACACGTGTGATTTATCCTGATTTACCCAAAACTGGACTACGTCCAACAGAGTTAATATTTACAATAAATGTACCCTAAACCTCTCTCGTTACAATGAATGCATTTGCTAATAAATTGCTCTCACACACTTATACAAGAGAATAACGTCTTTATATACTAGGTTTATTAAAAGAAACCTAATACTACTAGGATTCTTATTCCTAAACCAAACCCTATATGAGTTTTATTCCTTAGAAAAATCCTACGGCAGCTATTCATGGTATAAACCCAAACTGCTTATGGGTCGAAGGCATTGCCCCCTGCCCACTCACCGGGGAGCAGAGCCCTAGCCTGGCAGTGGGACCTGTATGCGTCTGCTTCACCCCTTATTGTTGAAGTGATCGCCAACTCCAACACATAGGAAGATGCTTAATTTAGATGTCACAACACTTATCTCAGTGAAATCTCTCCTTTGCATCCTTTTTAAGGATGATCCTTCACTGGTATAATTATGTATTGCTCTAAAAATTAACATTCAACTTTCTCTCAAAAGATCAAACTTTGTTATACGTTTTCTAAGTGCATCTAGTACACTGCAATAAATTTTATGATTTGGTATTAACTATGAAGGCCAAATTAAAGGCACAGTCTTGTTCCTCGTCTCTGCAATTTATTTTAACCAAAACGCCCATTTTTCGCTAATCTCAATTAGCTCATTGCCTAACCACAACTTCCAACAAATGATTAACAGTATCCTCATTTTTCTTCCCGCACATCCTCCTCAGTAACCTCCATATTCATAACACTCATTTTTCAGCATGCAAGACAATTTGCACAAAGGTAGTGATTCTTGCCCCTTGTTCTACATCGCTAACTTTACACCAAGGTCTTGAAATTGGAAATGCAATAAAACAATAATCTTACTCCCCAATCGTCCTAATAGATCTGCCACTCAGCAAAAATGAACTGGGTTTCTCAGAGGATAGCAATGTAAAATTAGCCTATCAGTATTAGTTTTTTACTGATAGATGCTCCACTTTCCTCAAGCATAATACAAATAAAGGCTCCCTAAACCTCAAATAAAGACCACTCCACACCACAGACATGTACTCTATCCTAGGAAGTTCGACAATTGCTTAGATGACTTTGACAGCAAATTCATAAGAATTGTGTAAGCTGAATCCTAGAGGAAAAAAATAAAATCCAAGAAAAGGATTTACCTTTCATTCTTTCAAGATGAAGTTTATCATTCTATGACGATACTTAACATACTTGGCTATTCTTGAAAGTTCAGCTACAGGCCATTACGAGGAACATTCTCAAAAAGACTTCCAGGTTAGCTAAAGTGAGGGAAACTGATTTGAAGGTAAAATTGCGGCAAAGCAAAGCAATGAATTCTTGCCGATCTGAAAAGAAAGCATCGAATGGCTTCTGATATTAGTATGTGTAGAATAGGCAAACCAACAGGAAGATGATTCTAGTTCTTTTCCCTTTACATTAAATTCTATCAGCCAAGAAGACATTGACAATGAACGACTTTGACTTATGTGAGAGAGTAAAGAGATTAGGATTTCTACAATTCAAACACTCGGTTCTGATCTTCATTTCTTACCATTAAGAGAAAGACTAATAATACTGTACCGCCAGCAATCAGGTCTTATTATATACAAAGTGGCATACTGATCAACTGGACTGATGCAAGAGGAGAACAGAACTCCCACAGAGTGTTTATTTAGTCTCTCCATCCCCTATTTCCATTCGATCAGAGCTCATCTCCGAAACTGTTTAATGGAAGACAGCCTCTCCATCCTCTATTTCCATTCGATCAGCTCTTCTCCAAAATCAGGTACTAAAAAGGGAACAAATAATCAATTAAAAAAAAAAAAAAAACACAAATTGAACAGCTAAGAGAAACCAAATTCAAAGGCACTTCAAATAAACCAAACGACTAACGAATTGAAACCTAAAAGAAATCATGCAAGTTCAGAAAGCAAGTCATTGAAAATTTCTCTCTTATAGATGCATTATCCATTACATTCTGATCTGATCACTTATAATAACTAGCTAAGACAACTACAATACCAAACAAAATGAAAAGAAAAAAAATTAAATAATCATATAAAATCAGTAGTTTGTAAAATTCACCTTCCTGTTTAAGATCCTTCCAGTCTTTTACTCTTCTCATCAGAAGGTTCCACCACATCATCACCACCGCGAAGCAACTTCATTGTCGACAAAAATCTATCCTCTTCCTTAGCATTCAGAAACAACTGCTTTCTATAAACCTGAAGCAGCCGCCCAAACAAATCCTTCTTAATAGACTCAAAGGCCATATCCAACCTCTCCAATTGCTCCAACGAATTCTGGTTATACATAAACAACCCATAATACAAATCAAAGCTATCTCCTTTCGTATTCTTCACCAAATTCAACAATGTCTCATACCCTTTTGTGTTAATTGGCGAAGACTCAACTCCAAACCTCTCCAACACTCTCCCCATTGTATGTGTCACAAACTGTGACCCTGCAGCGTACTTATCATGTTCAATACAACTCATCTCCACCATTCTGCAACCTTCCTTAGCAAAAAAGTCAAGAAACCTCTCGACTCGACTCAATCTTTCCTCGTCATCTCCAATTCTAACTTTGTCATACACAAAAGGAAGACCAACCCACGAATCTTTTCCACTCTCTGGACCAAACATCGGATGTGTACACAAGATATCAAACTCTTCTGGCAAATACTTCAAGAAAAGATTCATAGGGAACTCTTTGACTGAAAGAACATCGACAAAAAGTGTACTTCTTTTCAACCGCTGAAATGGGATAGATTTAAGCATACTTTCAGTGGAAAGAATGGAGGTAGAAATGAGAACTACATCAGGGTGAAGTTCACAAAGGTCATCAATGTCGGAGTAGAACTGAGCGTTGAATTGGGGAGCAACACGGGAGTAGTCTGAGCGAGAGTGAGCAAAAAGAGTGTGATTTTGGCGGGAAAAGGCTTTGGCAAGGAACTGGCCGAAGTTGCCAAATCCGATAATGGCAATCTTGAGAGAATTGGATTTAAGGTGCTGGTAGCGGAGATGGGATTCGTAGTCGAAAGGTTGCGCGGCGTCAAGGGCGCGAATGGAAGGGAGGCGTGAGGAGCCGGGGCGGAGGGGTTTAGTGATTGTGGAGGAGGGAATAGGAAGGAAAGAGCGGCGAATAGAGAGAGAAAAGGAGGGAAGAAAGGGCGGTGGTGGTGGGGTTAGAGGGAGAGGATATGGGGCGGAGACAAACATTTTTTCTGCTTTGTTTTGTGGGGAACTGAAAAGAGAGAGTTATCTGAGTGTTGCAGAGAAGAGACAACACAAGAGTGAAGAAGACTACACAAGAGGAGTGTGGGGTGACGAATTTCGTTACCCTTTAACGAAACTGAAACGTGAAAAATAAAAACTGTACACCACATCAATAATTTATTAAAACGTGTATAGTTAGTTGTGCATCAAATATCAATACGACAAATCATATCAATATTAGCGTATACGACTGTTCCTACCCAAGGTTTGCCTTCATGACTTTTCCCACCCAGAATAAAGTTTATATTTTGTTTACTATCTAGAATACTCTTTTTTATTCAGCGGCCAACTGAGAGAAAGCTCAATCTAAACTATTAGAGTTTTTGAAAAGGAGATACTAGTGAGTCTTTTGATGGTGATTAGGATTGTTAACAAGTCGAATCGAATCGAGTTTTTGGCTTAACAAGTTTAACTCGTGAAAAGAAAAAAAAATTCAAGCCGAGTCTGAGTTTTTTATTTCCTGACTCGGCTCAACTCGACCTATAAAAAGAAAAAAAGATTTCGAGCTTGGCCTGCAAGTCAAGTTAACGCCAACCAATAAAAGCATGCAATTTTTTTTTAAATTTGGTGCAGATTTTTTCTCTCTCTCTCATTTCTTACTTTTTATTTTCTCTCTCACATTTATTACTCTTTCTCCCATCACTTCTTTCCTTATTGATTTGTTTCTTCTTTTCTCTCTCTCCATACTATAATGTTTTTCCCCTCTAATTTATTATAAATAATGCTACAATCATCAAAGTAGTACACCGAATAACGTGATAAAATTTTGATTGTCGACTAATATTAAGTTAAAATTAATCAACGATCAAGATTTTATCAAGTTATTCAATACATAAATTCGGTGCACTTGGTAACTGTATTATTTTTCATTTATTATTGATTTGTTTCTTCTTTTCTCTCTCTCTCCATACTGAAATGGCTCACGGTTTCTCTTTCTTTCTTTTTTCCCTTTTCTTTCTCCCTGGCTCTCTCCCGTCTCCACCAACACTGAAGTTATTCTCTTCCTCTTCTCTTTTGTTACTTATTACTTTTGGCTTTCTCTTCTTTTCTCTCCCTCTAATGACACCTATTTTTTCCTATTTTCTCTTTCTTTCCTTCTTTCTCCTTTTTTTCCTATTTTCTCTTTCGGTCTTTCATTCTTTATCCTTGTTTCCCTGCACTCTCCACCAACTCTGATTTATTTCCTTCTTCCTCATTGTTTCCCTGCACTCTCCACCAAATCTGACGCCAACAACTTCCCTAAAATGATTTGGTTTCAGGGGAAAGGATTTAGTCGTGTATTTAGGAATTTTAACGTCAGGGTATTCTTTGTCATTTTTACAAACTTTTTGTTTTAAAAATTTCAGTTTAATCCCCTATACTTAATAAAACCCCTAATAATTCTGTTGTAAACTTAGAAGAGATGATTACACGTTACACAATTCACTCGATTACCGACAGTTGATGGGAAAAAGGTTTTAGTGAGTGATGATTGAAGAAGAGAATAATGATGACATAAGATCGCTAAAATGTTAGAATCTACCGATGATTAGTTAGAAATTTGAAATATAAACTTTGAGTGAGAAAATGGTATTTTGAAACTTTTTAGGTAAAATAGTGTCATCAAGGCAAACCTTGAGCGGGAAAAAGTCATTTACTTTGAATAGGTCAGTGATTAACTTCAAGAGTCTTACGTCTCGTCTCTTGAGGCATAAAATGAGACTGGTGTTGGGTAGAAGGTAGAAACTAGTGGCTCACGTTAACAACAGAAATAGCAAATTCACCTACCTTATTGATTAGAAATAGAAACTAGTTGCTCACGAGCTTCATATTTTGGGCACCAGCTAGTCAGAATTCTTGAAGTCATACTCACATCGGAAAAAGACAAAAATAAATACCCAACACAGCTAATCAGTACAAGCGCTCTTTCTTGCTTAAATGGAGTCCAGTACAAGTGCTCTTTCTTGCTTAAATGGAGTCCAAATGCTCTTTCTTGCTAAAATGGTGAAAGGTGAACCTCACAGAAGAGTTAAAGGTGGAAGTTGTTCTAAAAGACTACATAAGATAAAAATTAAAAAAGACCCAAAGACATAACACCACGGCACGGCCACTCCCCTGAAATGTAGAGACTCAAAACATTTTCTTGCCATCATTCTAAGCATCTCAATTATCATCATTATCCCCGCTTCAAAAATAGTATTCACTAAACTAACCAAACTAACTTCGAAACCCCATTACTGTTTTAGCACAAAAATTGACTTAAAAAGCAAAGTGTCTCCATGTTTTTATGACCCTCTTCAGCGTTGTACTTTTTGGTTATCCCTGCTTAGAAGATCTTGAAAAGCAGGCCACCGTGAGTGGCAAAGAAAGGAGCAAACACCAGTGATTCAACAGCCATGAGCTTGATGAGGATGTTTAGCGATGGGCCTGAAGTGTCCTTGAGTGGATCTCCAATGGTGTCGCCAATCACAGCTGCCTTATGTGGCTCGGACCCCTTAGGTCCGAGGGTCCTTGCATGCTCAGAGGCACCGGCCTAACAATTCAATCACAAAATTTTATTACCAAAAACCAAACCCAATCAAGTATAAATCAGATTTAACACATTTAAATATACACTTACCTCGATGTACTTCTTGGCATTGTCCCATGCACCACCAGTGTTAGATGCAGAAATTGCGACCTGTTGAAAAAAATACAAGAGAGCAACAAGTGTTAACGTATATGATTTTAAACACAAAATTTTCAACTCCTGGATAATTTAATAGCAGATAATTACCTGGACACCAGAAACAAGGGCACCTGCGAGCACACCAGACAAGGTTTCCACACCAAAGAAGATTCCAACAATGAGGGGTGTTAGCATGACAAGAGCACCAGGGGGAATCATCTCCTTGATGGATGCATCAGTGGAGATCTTGACACAGGTAGCATAATCAGGTTTGGTGGTGCCCTCCATCAGACCTGGGATGGTGTTGAACTGCCTGCGAACCTCCTCAACCATCTTCAAAGCAGCACTTCCAACACTCTTCATTGTCATGGCAGAGAACCAGTAAGGAAGCATAGCACCAACAATCAAACCAATGAAGACCTTTGGGGTCAAAACATCAACGGTAGAGATAGCTGCACGGCTGACAAAAGCACCAAATAGAGCCAAAGACACCAGTGCAGCTGATCCAATGGCAAATCCCTGAAGCCAACAAATTTCTTTAGTTAAATAATGAAATGTAAATGGTTAAAGCATCGGACAAGAAATATACTTCGGGGTTTCACATCAAATTCATTAGCAAAAGGTAACAGAAACAAGCACAAAAGAAGGAAAACTAAATAAAAAAGGTGGTCAGCTACTTCAACGATTTTTGGCAAAACTTAATAGAAGGAAAGAAAGAGCTCTTGTGCCCTTTTTGGAGCACCAGAACGGCCCTTTACTGGGAATACTAAAAGTTCATAAGTATACAGTAATATTAGGTTGCTGAAAAACAGATTTCCAATTAGCACGCACAAGAAGATCCTAAAAAAGAAAGAAAAGGAAATCCATCCTCCAGGTCAAATATATTCCAGAAGAATATCTCAGTACCTTTCCAATGGCAGCAGTGGTATTCCCAGCAGCATCAAGGGCATCAGTTCTCTCACGAATGCGGTGGCTCATTCCAGCCATCTCAGCAATACCTCCAGCATTGTCACTTATGGGACCATAAGCATCAATGGCCAAACCAGTGGCAATAGTGCTGAGCATTCCAAGTGCAGCCACTGCAATACCATACATGGCAGCAAAGCTAAAACTAACAAAAATGCTGACCGCAATGGCAAAAATTGGAATGATTACGGATTTGTATCCCAAAGCAAGGCCAAAGATAACATTGGTGGCAGCTCCTGTCCTGCAGGAATCAGCAACGGCTTGCACAGGGCTGCATATCAAGCAAATATACTNGCATTGTCACTTATGGGACCATAAGCATCAATGGCCAAACCAGTGGCAATAGTGCTGAGCATTCCAAGTGCAGCCACTGCAATACCATACATGGCAGCAAAGCTAAAACTAACAAAAATGCCGACAGCAATGGCAAAAATTGGAATGATTACGGATTTGTATCCCAAAGCAAGGCCAAAGATAACATTGGTGGCAGCTCCTGTCCTGCAGGAATCAGCAACGGCTTGCACAGGGCTGCATATCAAGCAAATATACCATCAAGAACAAAAACTTGAAGCAACAATAAAAAGCCAACAATTAAGTCTTAATTTTTTTTTTTTTTTTTTTTTTCAATTTTACCTGTATGCATTGCTAGTGTAATACTCGGTGACAAACCCAATGATAAGTCCAGCCCAAAGACCAACACACACACACAAGAACAGTTGCCTGCAAAACCAAAAAAAATGTTAGTACACGGATATAAAATCTCTTAAAAATGCATACATCTAGAACTGGCCAACTGAATTAGTTGATCATTAGGCACAAAGCAATTAAAAAGTAAAAAAATCCACATTATTTTTGACTCAGTATTTCAACAATTCAATACCCATGTAAAACCATGCAAACAAATGTTTGGATACAGTTCATAGTGTAGAATATGAAGATCAAAGTATACTGTCTGAAATAAAATCACATGTAATATCCTAGCCATAAAAGTCATTTGAGGAAATTTGGAGCCTATATAAACCCATAATAAGTGCACATTTACCAACACAATTTTGGTCGCCTCACATACTCACAACTGTCTCATAAACTGAATAAGCTAGCTATATGGAACCAACCACCTAGATATCTCCGAATAGATTAAAAAAAAAAAAAAAAAAAACAAATATTATTGATGTTCAGATAAGACACAAAATATCACTTTTCACATAACATGCTAATTTGCCAAAGAAGAATTATTTTGATTCTTACCAGTTTTTCACAACCTTCTGAACCCCAAAATTGTAGATTGTAAAGGAAGAAGGCAAGCCAACCCATGAGACAATTGCAATTCCAACAGTCATAAGAACAGTAGAGATTATAAGCTGCTGCTTCAATTTTGGTTCAATATCTTTGACGGCCTTGATTTCAGTCAAATCAGTGGCAAATAGAGTAGTGACCAAACAGACAATGATACCAATCGAACTGATGAGCAGAGGATAGAGCATAGAAGTGAAATCATGGTTGATCCCAAAAGATGATATGGAAGCAACAACAAGAGCAGCACATGATGATTCAGCATATGAGCCAAAAAGATCTGAACCCATTCCAGCGATGTCCCCAACGTTATCACCAACATTGTCTGCTATGACCTAAAAGAATAACAATTTAAACATATCAGTAAAACCCAAAAAACAAACTAAAACTCAATTTCAGAAGTGATCTATTGCTTACGGCAGGGTTTCTCGGGTCATCTTCTGGAATGTTTCTTTCAACCTTTCCTACAAGATCAGCACCAACATCAGCAGCCTTGGTGTAGATACCACCACCAACTCTCCCAAAGAGAGCCATGGAAGACCCACCAAGACCATAACCAGTAATAGCTTCAAATAGGCCTTCCCAGTCATCACCATAGTACAGCTTGAAAAGATTGATAGCAATGAACAGCACCAAAAGACCATTTGCTGCAAGGAGGAAACCCATCACTGCACCAGATCTAAATGCAGTAATAAAAGCCTTGCCAACACCCTTCCTTGCTTCTAAGGTTGTCCTTGCATTGGCATAAGTAGCAATTTTCATCCCAAGGAAACCGGAAAGCAAAGAGGTGATGGCGCCAAGCAAGAATGACACAGTGCTGAAAAGTGCAGTGGCAAGAGCGGGCTTGCATGTCTTCTGCTTATCATAAGTGCAAGGTTGGCTCTTGGTGCTAAAGCCCTCAACAGAACCCAGAAAAAGGAAAATCAAGGCTGCAAAAGCAACCATGAAGACTCCGACATACTGATATTCAGTAAAAAGAAAGGATGTCGCACCTGTTACATCAAGACATACATAAGTATGATACGATGAACAAAAAAATAACATACTTTAGAACAGACTGCAATTTCAGATAATCATTAAAAACAATACTGACCAAGATAAAAAAAGAGAATAAATGCATAGATCATGTAATTAGCCCAACAAAAATCAGATTAAGTTAGAGTAACTCAAATGGTAAACAACCAGTTAAGAGGCAGACAAACTGAGTTGACTACTACGGAGGAAATCAAATAATAGTTAAAAAAACCGGGTCAACTCCCATATAGCAATATCTGCCACTGAAATGGTGTCCCCATGCATTAAGAGCCAAATTTAACTTAAGATAAACACATTCATCACAATTTCTAAAACTAAAAATCCAGAGATCTTATTAAAATCCCATAAATATTATAAAAGAGCAATGAGATCTCGCGATACAGACCGTATGTACACATAATACAAGACAAATGGGAGCACCAAAGAAACTGGTTCTCAACCCTTACAAGCATGGTCATAATTCATCAAAATGATGATAGCTTAAACGGAAGATGTCATATAAAAATGTTTTTAACAGGTTACCAGTTACATGTTATGAGCCTAAGTACATGTTTAAAATGTTATTAAATCTGACAAAAAATAATCAATCTAAAGTACTTCCTAATCTGTAGAAAAATCCTAAATATGTTGAATTACACAGTACAAGGCACAGGACACTTAAAACAGTAATTCAGATTCTCATCAATAACATTAATTAATATAAAAAACAGCCAGTAAACTTAATTAGAATAAGACAAAAAATATTCAAGAGCTAGAACCAAGAAGATAAGAGCTGCATAAGCTAATATACAAGTCCCCAAATAAAACATATACAAGGGAACACAGAATATCTAAACCAGATTATTTTATTTAATCCCATGTTTTGAAATGTAATTAAAAAATTAAAGATGCCCACCTCGAGTCACATACACATCCATCTTAATCCTAATCTAATCTTAAGATCTACTATCAGTTTCACCCATGTGTGCAACACAAGTTGTGATAATAACACCCAAAAAGCCAATTGACATTAATTACATAAAGACAAAAGCATCCCATAAGTACCCCACCCATTATTACGACATCGTACAGGTAAAATAGATCCAACCAATATAAAAAAATATATATATTAAAATAAATATCTCATAAGTCATAATTTAATTTAATCAAAAAAATAATAATAATCTGAAAAAACAGATCTGGATTTTTCCAACACTGAAAATAAAAAAAACTACGTCGTTTCGCTCTAAACAATTTCAATCCATTTGTTTCTTCATGAAAATTTGATTTATGTTAACGAAAATTGTGGTAGCACCCCAAAATCAATTTAAAAGACAATTTGTTTATAAACGTCTTCTCTTTTTTTTTTTTTTTTTTTTTTTTTTTTGTTTCCAAATTCACTTTCTCGGGCAACCAACAGCAAGTAAAGTTAATTCAGCCAAACTGAGGTAAAATCAAACCCTTAGAGTAATCTGTAACTTAATTCCTAGCCACCTACAAAAACCAAGCTAAATTATCAACACTTCAACTTTCTTTCTTTTTTCCTCCTTTTCTAAGACAGCAAACATCCCAAAACAACCAAAACGAAAGAAAATTACACAAACAAATCACTAAACAAACACACAACCAGATCTAGAACAGAAACGCTAAGATCCCCACTCAAACAAGACCCACCTTCCGAGATAGCTTTTGAATTTCAGCACACTTGACAACAACACTCTGGTCGTAATATCCCTTCCTCTTCCTCGATCAAATAATCATTGAACCCATTCTTCTTGTTGTTACTACTCGGAGTCCGCTCGTGCGTGACTTTCACGCGCGAAACGATTCCCCACTGATGAGGGAGAAGATGATGCCGACGACGGCGCAACCCGGCACCAAAATCTCCGTTCCCACTCCGAGAATCGTAGGCGACCCCATACCGCAACAACAACAACACAAAACACAAAAAAATGAAACCGAGGGTTCGCGAGAGAGAAATGAAAAGAATTGAAATGAAGTTGTTTTTTTGAAGAAGATGTTAAGGTGGTTATATATATAGTGAAAGATGGAATTTTTAGGGAACACAGAGATAGGTTTTATTACACGTACGTAGTATTGACGTTGTTATTTTAAGACGTGAGATATTCACCGTTGGATTTACTTTGGGGATTTTTAATCATGATTCTTGACCCCCACCCGTTTCAATTAATGTGTAATGATTTATAATTGGATTGGATAGGCTGATTTATTATTATCAATTTTTCTTACAAATTTAAATATATATTTCAAAATATTATTTATAATTTTATTTTTTTAATAAAACTCAATTATTTCATATATTTAGTTTAGAAGATTTTATCCAAAAAATAATATTAATTAAATTTCCTTTGATTGAAAATGTAAAAAAAAAAAAAAAAAAATCTTATTTTAAGGGAGGTAAAAATATTTTATTTCCTTAAATAAAAAAACAATACAATAAATATATGGATTAAATATCGTGTGACCCGACCCAATAATGTGTGGGGTCCAGTTTTTATTGTGCGATCTGGAATCATCAAACGGTGGATGATGGGGAAGTAGGTAGGTTGTGTGGGGCGGTTGTACTGAGAACAAAATAGTTGATAGCTCCAGCGCGTATTTTCGACGTCAGTGTCAATTCGACTTTCTGTATTCCACTTTCACTTAGCGTTTCACAAATCCCGATTTGTACGGTGCTTCGCCTGATTATTAAATATGATGCACCTCTTTATATATACCCTCACAAATTATTTAAAGCTTTTAGGGCCTTAAATTACATTATTTTTTTAAATAAGGGATAAAAAATGAGTTTAATGTTTTCGAAAACAAATTTGGTACAATTAAAAAACTAATATAAAATATGAAAATAATTAAGACTCGTATTCATAATTTTTTATGTTTTTAATCTTGAATAACTTTGAATATTATATAAAACACTTGCATGTATTAAAATATTAAAATATATATAAAGTTTGAACTTAATTTTAGTTTTAAAATTTAGTTAAGATGACAAATCAGCAATACCTTAAAATCGTCTGAATTAATATCTCATACCAAAACACAAAAACAGAATATAAATAATTAATTATTATAAAATAATAATACATGTTAATAAATTAAACAAATAGTAATAATGGTATAGTATTCTTCCGTATCATAAGATTTTCATCTTTATCACAACGAAATAAATGAAAAATCCGGTTTGATGAAAGAGCAAAAAGGGACGGTGGGAGAGGTGGGAGCTTAGTAAGGTTGTGGTAGATGAGAAGAGGATAAAAGCTTAGAGATATTAATGTTTTAAGTGAAGAGATATTGTGAGGGGGTTTTGAACGGCTAGTGACGTTGCGTGTATTGAATGGTCTCCATCTCCTATCGGATAATATCATTTCTTATTTTTATTTTTTTATTTTATTTTCTTATATATTTCACGTCTTATTTTATTATCCACTCCATCTTTGCTTCTTGCACCCAATTTTTTAGGAGATTCTTCTATCTTTATCAATATCTAAATTCTTGTAGTAATTTCATTATGAATTTAATACTTTGATGACCTTTGATTATTTTAAATATTATATTAATTGCTTATACAACATAAGAGAATGCTAATATATCTTATTGACTGGCTGATGATAAAAAAGTAAAAAAAATTTTATGAGTTTTTTGTTCGCTCTCTCTCAGCACTAATAAAGTGCATAGGACTCTTACTTCAATGTTTAAGATCCTGAAATTAGTTGAAGTGGGTAAACTGACATGATAATCCCGATAATTAAAAAAATGGTCTAAAATATTTATTAAATGATTTGAAATTGAAAAAGGTGGAGTGGAAATAGCAGAATGGGGGGAGAGAGAAAGAGAAGAGAGAAGGATGGGATTGAAATTTGGAAGTAGCAAATAGTGTGTTTGTTTGCTTCGTCTTGAAGAAGAGTGAGAGAGTGAGTGAATGAACGGTTAAGACTCGCCTCCCAGTTAGTCTAGCTGGCTTATCTTGTGGTCCCCTAAGCCCACAACAATTCAGTGGGACCCCTCCTCTTCTTTTCTTTCTTTTTTTTTCTTCTTTAATGCTCACGATTGGCTTTCTAAAGTCAAACTTCTAATCTAATTATGAAGAATTCCTTTCATCGCTCAAGTTCATCAAAATATCCCTTCTACTAAGGTTTTAAAAGTGACTTAAATCCATTTTTATTACGATAATCTCATAACAAATGTCACCGTAAAGTTTTACACTTAAAAACAACCATTAAGTGAGAGATTCTCCCTTATTTGTGGGATCCTAACACAAAGCTGTCTCTGTATTTAGTTTACAATAAACAAAAATAGTTTTCTAAATAGAGAAATTTGTGGACAAAAATAATTTCAAGAAAGTTTAAGGATGAAAATGTATATAATATTTCACCTAAATAGGATAACCACAAAGGCTGCTCACGTGAACAACTAGTAGTATGTTACATAGCACATTACAATTCACAAAAAATCACAAGATACCCAAAAAGGAATATTCTTATTTCATTAAATTATTATTTTATCCAATCGAAACGTGAATGTAAGTCTAAACTATTTCAATGATTTTGACACATCTTATTGATTCTTATGGAATAAGAGCAAATTTAGATATTAAAAATATTTAAATTAAAATATTAGCAATAATTATCATGGGTGACTGATGTAAAAATGTAAAAAATATTTAATATGATCTCCCAATTGAATCTCTTCGAAGGTAAATGAGTAAGAGGGGATCTAATAATCTCTCTAAGTTCGAATCCTCTTATCACGTGATAGTTTCGGGTCTGGGAGATGGGTAGGGTGAGAAAAAAATAGGGTAGAACTGGAACCGTGGGTACCCGAGTTTCGTTCCGATTCCTACCAGAACCAACTGCCACAGATTGGTTCTCGGTTTCGAAAACCTGAACCGACAGCTATACGGTCTTTCCAGTTCACCACCTTAGGAACCAGAACCAGACCCTGAAATCAATAACTAAATTGAAATGTTAAAAAAGTATAAGGACCATTGAATTTTACAATTCAATTAAAGTCTTACCTTATTTCTTCAGAATTTTCTCTTGTTTTGTTTGCTTTTTCACAACTGATTTAATTGATGTTTACTTGTTCTTAAAATAATTCACCATTCTTAGTAAAAAACAACTTTATTTTTCTTCTCATCATCTATACTGATCACAACAACAAAAAAAACCATTTTTTTTAAAATAAAAATAACTTTGCTTTTTTCCTTCCATTTTCTTCTTATCGATATTGACCCAACACACAAAGAACCAAAAAAAAAAAAAAAAAACATGAAATCCAATCCAACAAATTCTGCCATTTAACATTAATATTAACAGAAACCCAATCTTCTCATTTTTCATACAAAAAATTCGGCATAATTTTTTTATTATCTACAAAAAATCAACAAAACATAAAAAAAAATCAATTTGGCTAGACGATCAAATTCTTCTTGCTATTTTTTTAAATTTGGCACAAATCCTTTTTTAGTAAATGCAAAAAGGAGAAGGAGAGATGAAGAGAAAAGAAGAAAAGGCTTATTATCAATTAGAAGAGACTTTAAAAAAAAAAAAAAAAAAAAAAAAAAAGTGATACAAGTTTCATTTGTATCAACGAACATATTTCTTAATCAAGCATTTCTTTTTTTTTTTTTTTAAAAATATGTTCGTTTATGGATAAGATTAAAAAAGTGTATATTAATTTGTAAAAAAGTGTCAATTACTATAAAAGATGTCGGTTTATGATAGAAATGACCCGTGTCTTTTCTCCTTTGTTTTTTTTTAGAAAAGTGTATTCCATTTAATAATTATCATAGCTTTAACATTACTCCCTCCGTTTTTATATAAGTTGTTTTGAGGGTAATATTTGTTTCAAAATAAGTGCGTTCTCTTCTTTCAATGCCCCACTTCTTTATTCTTCACCTTTCCCCTCGTCTCCTCTCTTTCACAATTTATCTCTCTCTTAATTAATATTTCACTGTCTCACACACGTGTTACAAAGTGAGAAACAAAATTTTCCCATCGAAAAAGTTAATTCTCTGCACACTTTTTATTCCTTAAAAACTGTATAAAAACTTAAAACGACACTTATTATAGAAACGGAGGGAGTATAAAGTTAAACAATATGTTACGAACATAAATATCAGATGTTGGGGGATGTTTTAATAAATTAAGAAATAACCCTAAATTTATTTATTGCCATTATTTGAGGAACCTGAATAGCATTTCCCTCTCCAACATTTTCTTTTTCAAATTTCATTTGACCAACTTTACTCCTTTCTATTACCCAATTGCCATTTATTCATCAATCAACAATTATTATAATCATAAAATCTGTCTTTAATTCCAAGAGGGGGGGCCATCCCAGAGTGAAACTGAAAATGGTAAACATACACAACACCCCAATAATTCTTTAATGTTTTTGTCATACTAATTATTATTTTTAAGAAAAAAAAAAAAAAAGGTGCTTGGGTTATGGAAGTTGACGTAAGACAACAACATGTCAACATTTCATATTATGAGAATTCCTCCTTTAAATTGGATTTCACTTTTTTTTTGTATCTCAAAAGAGGAAATGTTTTCAAATTTAAGAGAATTCCCAATTATAGCCAATGATTCATGATGCAACAAAGATGGATTCACAATACGATTTTATAAATTTTCTCTCACCATCTTGACGTGGCAGTTCGCATTTAGTCAACTCACAATTGGGTTAGCGGGATCTATTATTGGACAAACGAGACCCATTACGAGCTACCACGTCAGGATTGTGAAAGAAAATTTGTGAGGTTAGGTTATAGGTGAAGAATTATCGTTCATGATGAAGAGCTAAAAGGGAGTTTATTTTATTTTATTATTCTTTGTATTTGGATTAAAATAAATAAATATCCATTGTTGTGCGGGAATCCAGAGCAGATAAATCCC